AAATAAAGATTAGACTGTACTATCATTTCTGCTCTTCTTATATCAGTCCAAGAATAATTGTTGACATTGCGAATAATGGGAAATAATTTAATCGAAAAATAAGCATCAACAAATGCTGTTAATTTATTTTCCAAATTAATTAATGTAATTACTGCCATACCCGGTTTGCATTGATTGATATCGTATTGCAATGCATTCTTTATATCAGGATTGATACCTTCTTTAGATAATAATGTCCAAATATCTTTATTACTGCATAAAAACTTATGACTATTTTCTATAGCTACAAGATTGTATCCTTTTGGAGAATATACTTCTATCGGAGGATTTGAGCTAGTAATATGAAAGCCATAAATTTCTATTGTACCATACAACACATTTACCATTAACTTGCCAGTAAAACAGAAACTGGTCTTTTCTTCCATAATTATCAAGACTTTATTATCTAAACAATATAAGCGTATCTTTTCATTATAATTTGACACGGTTGTATTTGTATTTTTTGTTATCTGTCTTTTAGATTTGGTGCATGGTTTGCAGATATTATGCATCATCTCATCTTGAATGCATTCCTGTGCTTCATTGTTTTGAGTAGCATCAACGGTTGTCTTCTTTTTAGGAATATCATGTCTAGATTCCAATCTCTCATTATTATTCTTATATTTTCTCCAATTTTTTCTGTTACCAGATTGAGTACTTGAAATTTCATCAAAATTTATAGATTCAAAATCATTGAAGATTTTTTCTTTAGATACATTTTTATTTTCTTCTTCCAATGAATCTGATATATTCAATTCGGACACGCTCTGTCAATTGAAATAAAATTGTTACTTGGAAATATCAATGAAACAAATTGCTTAAAAAATATTCAATATTATGTAATTGATATCATCAAAATCTTATGATAATACTCTTATAATCTCTGGAGCACCAAGATTTTTGTGTGTTTCAAATATTTTCTCCTGTGCGGTTACCGAACTATCTATAGCTGAATTTAATAACTCACAGTGATTCCATTTGGAAAAAACATTCATGTGATCTAAAATTATAATAATTATTTACAACATTTCTTCCAATTATCAATTGATTAGAGTTGTGCATATATAAAAATATGTTATACGTTCTTCCATTCCGTCATAATTTTTGGATAAGATTTTAACATCTTCCCTAGTTTTAATATTAAATACATCGTAATTTTGATCAGATGTAATAGAAGAAGAAGCAGCACATTCTGATAAAGAGCGTCTTCTACTAAATTTATCTTTGAATGATTGCTCAGGATTATGTTTATCAAGGTTAGACAGATTCATTGTTCCTTTTATTTTATCTCGAAAAAAAAATTCTTTTTAAATTTTATGGTATAACATTTAACAACCTAAAACGAGAAAATATTAAATGATTTTACCTCATATATGTTTCCTCTTGTATTAAATTAATAAGTTCATAAATTTTAGTGTGAATACCAATAATGTTTACGTATTATCGTATATTTTGATAAACCCAAAATATACAAATAAATGATAACCTCAATTAAAAATTCCTATTGGTTCCATTATCACATATCAGTCCCGTAACGTGGCGGGCTTTCAAGTGAGTTTGAAAATCCTGCTAATTGTAGGTAGTGTTCTTTATTTTTATTTCATTTGATTAGATAGAGATATTAAACAATATTTTTAATCTATTATTAAGACGGTAGATTTTATGATAAATATCTGTCAAAGATAGTCTTATAATGAATTATTCTTGAATGTAAATAAATACAAAGCCTTTTGGCGCCTTATCATCAACGTTACCACGTGGCCGTCGAAGTAAACAAACGGGAAAATCTATTACAACTGCATTATCTGCTCTTAGTGTTGAGTTATTATTTGGTAGGGAAGACTCCTAAGTATTATTCAGATAAACAATAATATCATGTAGAGAATGATTAGCTCTATAATAATCGTTTAATAATAAGTGAGTACTATTCATAAAGTTAAATATTCCTAATTGAAAGAATTTGACGTCAGATGGTGCCTCAATAGTTATTCCGTAAAAAAACTTACGGTCTGACTTCTTTTAATGTAATACTAATAACAGATAACTGTACTTAGTGAATACATACAGTTTAGTATCTACTAACAAAAATGGAGTTACCAGTTAAATATTGTTTGTGTGGTCGTTCTTATGACGCTGAGCAATTTATGATACAATGCGACGTTTGTAAAGAATGGTATCACGGCGGGTAAGTTTTGTGAAAGAAATCCATTGAAAAAAAGACACGTGCAACACGAAGATACAAAAAACAACGTTAAATTAATGCTTTACAACTCGCAACATTTCTTCTACCATTGTTGTTTATTAACGATTATCCCAACAATCGCATAGATCCTATATATTCATAAATATTTTCCAATTTTCATATAAAAGTATGTATAACTTCGTATGCATAGGATTATTTGTTGATAGTATCATAACCTATAAATTTGGTGATTATGTTATCCTTTTGATCAGATTAGTTTGCTATTTGATATTTAGTTGTTTTCTATGTATAAATTGTTTTGATATTTTTATCCCAAAGTGTTAAATTAAAATTCATAGACATTAGTTCTGATGATGCATAAGTGATTTTTAAATGTTCTTATTTATTATTTAAAAAAAATTTTGCCAACACTCTTAAAGTTATTGATATTAACATTATTTACTTTATATGTCTGCAAAGGTGTGTAGCTCTAAAAGAATATATGTCGATAGACCTCGATAAATATCATTGTCCAAAGTGTGAACCGATGCATGGACCGTCTATTAGTAAGTAAAAAGAATTCATTTATTGTTATCCTACTAATGTAACGAGTAAGATAGATTATAAGAATATTCCCATATTTATATTTTAGTGAAAACTAGATCAAATTGGCATAGACATGATTATACTGAAGTGGATGCAGACTCTAAACCTGTTCAAACCGGAACAGAAGTATTCATTCGAGAATTAAAATCCAGACATTTTCCTAAAGCTGACGATATAGTCAAACATGTGAGAGGACAGCAATTAACACTTCAATATTTACAAAATAATGGGTTTGAAACACCTATTATAATCGATGGGAAAGATGGTCTTGATATGAGCGTACCTCCTCCAAACTTTAGTGTTTATGATGTTGAAAGTTATATAGGTAAGATGATCGGTTAATACTTTAAAGAATATAATAATGTAATTACAGGACATATTGTATATTAAGAAGAAGAAGAAAATATTGATTAATATATTCATATGTATTATATTATTAATTCAGGTGGAGAACGTGAAATGGATGTGATAGATGTCACAAGGCAAAGTAACATTCGAATGAAATTACGAGACTTTGTAGAATATTACAATGACCCTTGTCGAACAAGGGTTTTTAATGTCATAAGTCTCGAATTTACAAATACTGGGTATATCCATATTCATTGCCTTGCCATATATGGCTTTAATCGTATATAGGACGTATGTGTATAAATTGACAAATAAACGTTGCAGTCTTTCACCAATGGTCGAAGCACCATACATCGCGCGCAAACTTGACTGGGTAAACTCCGTTTGGCCACGCGATTGGCCTGAGGAAAGTGATATAAAGCGTCCCGAAGTACAAAAATATTGCCTAATGGGAGTCAAAGACAGTTTCACAGATTTTCATATAGATTTTGGCGGCACATCAGTTTGGTATCATGTATTGAAGGGTGAAAAAGTGTTTTATCTTATCAAACCGACGCCAGCTAATTTACAATTATATCAGCATTGGATGTGCAGTTCTACTCAAAGTGAAACTTTCTTTGGAGACCAGGCTGATGCATGTTACAAATGCGTTATTAAACAGGGCCAGACTATGATGATACCTACTGGTTGGATACACGCTGTCTTAACTCCAATTGATTCTTTGGTTTTCGGTGGAAATTTTGTACATAGTCTAAATATTCCTATGCAGATACAGTAAGTACGTAAGTGGACATAAAACGTAAATCTTAATACATATATTGCTTCTCATTAAATATTTTATTTTACAGAATATACGAGTTGGAAAGAAAAATGAAAACTCCTGCCAAATTTCAATATCCTGGTTTTGAAACGATTAATTGGTTTGCCGCTAAAAAATTGCTGAAAGAACTGAAAGAATTAAATAACGAGGAGAGAAAATGTCCACCATATTTTTTACAAGGCGTTAGAGCGTTATTAAGTATTTTAAAACAATGGAACACTGATAAAGATGTAAGAAGAATATTTTTGTATATCTATTTTTTATTTATCTATTTTATTATCTAATTATTTAACTCTTCTTGTTTGATATTTTTATATAGTACAATATGGTCAGTAGAAGTCAAATACCAAATACGATAAACAGTCAAAAATTATTGAAAGATTTTAGTAAAGAAATACGACATGCCGAGAGGTATCTAATATCATTAAATCCTCCTAAACCGGAGCGTGAAAGTAAAAGAAAGAAAAAGAAACCATTAAATAAAGATTTCGTAGATTATGATGTTGCAGATAAAATGGTAGAAAATCCTTTTAAAGCTACATTGAAAGAAACAAATAAAGTTGGGACTATAATTAATGATAGTATTTCAACTAATCGACCACCATTAAAGCTAACTTTATCTAAACCTGTAATGTACCCTTATGTTAAAAATACTTCGATGGAAGAAAAACATGTTAATAGTCCTACACAGAAACGTACAGCCAAGCCAGGAAAACAAAGTCCTACTGTTATCAGATTTAAATTAGGAAACAACGAAGTCGTTAGAAGTACAAATGATAATATCAATTTAAAAAATAATTTTACTTCTAATCATGCTACTGTAACGAAAGAACTTTCTTGGAATCGTACATCTGTATATGATTTTCATGACGGTAGCAATGAAAGCGATTATGGTAGATTTACTATAGACGAGTCACCAAAAAGAAGAAGAAATTCTAAACCTAACACGCAAAAACGAATTAAACGAGATTACGATGGCGATGTTGATGTTTTAAATGATATTCCCAAAAATGGTATAGAAGAATTGATTAAAGCATCTGTATATACATTAGGAAACGCTCCTCAAAGATTAGACGTTACGTATGTAACACATTTTTTTATTTGTGTTTTTTCAATCGTTATAGAATTATATCAGTCATATTTACAATTATTTTAGACCATCAACAATTCCACAGTATAGTCAACCTGTGCCTCCCCCTACTGGGTAAGTCATTGTTATGTCTTGTAAGATTACTTTTAATATTCGTGTATTAAAGTGATTTATAATTTCAATGCATGCGAATATAATTATTATTTTGACAATGGAAAAATATATTAATTTGGGCGAGTTAAAATAAACATAAATTTGTTTAGCTTCTTTTTGGAATATTATAAACACATTATAATTAGATTTTATTAGTTGTAGTTATATTTTATTTTTTGGTGTCTTAGTATTTATAAATTGAAAACGGCTAGTTCTGACAGGGCATCACCATCAACTCGTGAAGCCATTGCTGGGATGTTATCATTCAGCGAGCAGTGTTATTCAACGACATCGAGTAACTCCACCAAACCAACTAAAATAGAAAAAACGCAACGCAACAACGATAATGATGACGATGATCAATTGATAGAAAATATTGATAAAGTTCATCAGGACGATGATTTTAGTAAGTTAATATATATATTTGTAAGAAATTTTACATATACGATTAATTCCTAAATTAATTATTTGATATTTTTAGTTTATCCTGCTTTGGATGCTTCTGACGATGAAGATTATATTTTCAAACCCAAAGCAAAAAGTCAGATAGATGAGGCATGGAATCCAAAAGCCAGAGTTGGACCACTCTTGCCAAAGACAAATCGACCAGCACGAGAAGGAGTTAGAAAAACTTCAGTAGAAAAAGGATTGGAAGCAGCAGCAGCGAAACGGGCTAAACAAGTGGTAGATTCGAAATTATTTCATCTTACAAACTTAATCCACCCATTTTTTATATATGCAAATTAAAAAGATTCAATCTATTTCTAAAGAAATATTTTTCAATGTCTGTATTTTAGTTATCCATTTAGATATATATCTGTAATATACTTTCATTATTACATACTTATTTCATATAGGGTGAATATCTGGATAACGAGATGGACAAGATTACGAAGAAGAAATTGGTAGGCATATCATAATTTCTTCATATAAGTGTAGTAGTCTGTAGATCTTGCTTTATGTGTATACATTTATATTTTTATACTCTTACATTTTAACTCGGATGATAAAATAATTAATTACTCATTCTCAAAAATTCATCTTTTCATGCACGTATATACTTTAATCTGTATTTACTTCTTAATCAGTAGGTTTCTATTAAATAGCAAGATAAATCATTATTTTTGTATACATGAACATTCTTATCTAATTCTTTACATGAATCTTACAATTGGGTGTTCAATATATTTATTGATACATTTGTATATACGTTAAATAAAAATTATATTAATTGTTGTGTGTGTGTATGACAGAATACAACCAAGAGGACATACAATAAGAAGAAACAAAAAGACACATCGGTTGTAACATCTGGGCCAACTCCAATCATACCTGCAGAAAATATAATAAAAACTAGTACTGGATATGGATCAATATTGACAAGTCCAAATAGGCTGAAAGATGTTAAAGCTAAGTTAGCGGCACCAGTTCCGATCGGTAGAGTATTTTTCTATTTTCCTTATTATCATTATTATTATGATTAAATCTAAATAATAACATTCTTGAATTTTTAGAACGTAAGCCTAGAAAGGGAATGAAAACGGCTAAACAACGTTTGGGTAAAATACTAAAACTTCATAAAATGATGCATTAGACAAAAAAAAGAACTGACATTAATAAATTATATACATCACATCATTCTTTCATTGATACATTAAATGCTAACTAGATGTAAATTGTAAATATATATATCAGATAATTCAAAAAAAAAAAAGGTGATTACGAACACCTATATTTATTATTTTATCATTTAATAATTACTCCATTGTCAGTTTCTTTTTTTAATTCATTTTATTTTTTATATCAACCATTTCTTTTCACAGAAATGAATGAATGATAATTTTTATTATATAATAATATTTTGTAATACGTTTAATATTATTATTCTTTCTCTCTTTCTCTTAAAATTCGTATCTATTTGTCGATTAATTTATAAACAAATTTAAAGTTTAATATGTGGCCTGAGAAAGTATGAACTTAGTGCCAGTACGAATCTCATTAACTAACACGGTTGATATAGTACAGTAAGCTTTAAAAAAATATTTTCTTTCTTTTTTTCTTTTTTTAACGTCGAAACATAATATATAGTATAGATCTAATTCTAAGATTTTTGTTACTTAGTTTGTATTTATAGAGAGGCTGTAGAGTACAGAAACTGTTATACATTCAGTGTTATAGTAAATCATGTATTATTTTAACACACAAGCTCTACATTGTTATTCCATAGTATACTGCATACAAACTTGTATACAATTTTGCTGCCTTGGGAATCTTAATGTTTATTTATTTTTATTATTATTAATATTAATTTAATCGAACGACATATGAAAATTGTCATACAAAACAATTTCTATATAATTATTATAAATATATAAAGAATAATTGTTCTCTTAAAGAAATGCGATATTAGGATATTTCAATATTTAACATTAATCTTTTATCTTAACATTTTATCTCACATTTTCTTCATCCAAAAAATGTGTTTTCTTAGTATTTTATACTTAATGATAAACGTAAGGTATTAATATAAATATAAAGATTTGCTTATATTCATTCTCTTGGCTTTACTTTATCAAAAAAAAAATTATCTTTTCCAAATTGTCATTTAACTGAATAAATAATTATCGATAATAATAATAGTAAAGAAAAAAAGAATAAAAAAAAAAAAAAAAAGAAAAAAATCGTAATAAAAACTTAATCTATATCATTTTTCGTACTAATTGTAAAGAAGTATTGTAGAGTTACGTAAATTTATAATCGCATGAATATGCTTGTAAATATTAAAATTCATGGTATAGCGATATAATTATATTCATTAAAAAAAGAAATAAAAACAAATTTCTAATCTGACATACGATAACTACGTACACAAATTATTCAAAACAAGTATACATCTATACTAAAGGGTTGTGACGATACATTACTTTTATGATGATTTAATATTTTTGTTAACGTAACAATTTATAATTAAAGAAGAAATATACGATAATATTGGGAAAAATTATTCGTCTTAGATCCTATTGGATTATAATGATGACATATTCTTATGATTTATGCGTAGTATTGTTTTTTAATTTTTATTCTAAAAAAGAAAATAATATCGTGCGTTGTCGTTCAAGCATTTACTTAATACCAGGCTGTATACGTTTATATAAGACACAATAATTAAATGGAGAAAATACAATAAGAAAAAAATTGTGTATAAAATCAAACGTATGGTTCAATCAATTTGTATGAATTTTTAATGTCTGGACTTTGATATATAAATACAGAGAATCCCAATTTTAATTCGCAAAATATTACCAGCATATTCTTTGAATAAAAAGAAGAACAAAATGTTATATAAACACAAGCTTTTAAATGTTTTATTAAAATGTTATAAGAAAATTACTAAATAGCAACGGACAGTTTTCTTGTTCGATAATACATAGGAATAGATTGTCAGTTAAAATTATAATTTCATTTCTAAATATTGTCTGTTATTATGAATGCAGAACTGGCATCTACAAAGAATACAATTTATCATATTATACCGTTATATTGTTTTTATTTTCATTATAACTTTTTAATTAAGCATTTAAGAGTCCTTGTTTATGTGACATGTTGTTCTTATTTTTGCTTATAAAATACAATGGTAAAAATTTGCGGATTACAACTGTGACAATTTGTATATCTAAGAAAATAATATTTATATATATATTATATATATATATAACGATACACCTACAACTTA